TTACAATTATGATCATATCTCTAGCACTCCAGCAATTGTTCAGAGAGGTAGGAAACCAGTCATAGTGATAGCAGCAAGTTCTTTATCATACTTACACTCCTCTTTTTCCTCCGCAGTTCTCCACTGGAGCACCAATCAAATCCACACCAATTTGCTTCAACCATCACCCGACACTTCCTGCTGATCAGCATAAAGGAATGTGCAATACACTGATATAAAGACTACACACTTTGTGGTATTGTTGAATCTAGTGTTTCAGTGAAGTAAGTATCATTCATTTCTGCTTTACATTGTAATGCCAAACCATGGTGTTGTGTTACATGACTGACCAAAACCGCACATTACACTAAGCCAAACCGTAACTTAGAATGAATGCTATCTCCAAAAGGAGATTTTGGGTGCTTTTATCTCTCTACAGATTAACCACAAGTTGTAAGCAAGGTTTGTTCTTGTATTATAGCTCATGGTTTGTCTGGAGAGACAAACCACAACTTTGGGTTCAGATGACATGATAAGCTAAACAATGGTTTAATGCACAGCAACCAAAGGGCTAGAGGAGCTAAGCAGCCACAATCTCCTCTCCAGGAGGACCTCACGCTTACACATTTGTGCTAAACCATGGTTTGGCTTAGTGTTACAGGCAAACTGAATCAGGGACTCAGGCTTCTGTAGACTCCACTCCTCCACTTGTTATCTTTTGAGTTCTCTGCTTCATTAGTTACAACAAACATTACTTGGTTTGTAGCAGCAAATCGTATTAGAGCTGAACCAGCAAACTATGGTTTGCAATTTCCTCTCCATAGCAGGATTTCTAGCCAGTTTCAAACGGTGCTGTACAATTTTGATTAAGAAGGCAACTTCAGGTCCGTGCTTGGTTTATTGGATGCGGTAGCATACTAATGGTTTCATGCAATCCAGGAAGTTAGTAGGTTACAGAAGTACCTTGCTGGGTGGGGTGGGGCTGTAACAGTAGTTTCCAGGTAGATGGGTTGCTACTGCTTTCTGGGAGGGGGAGGGGTGAAGCAGTGTGAAGTCAGCAGAGTGCAAATGCACACATAGTAGCTCTGCCTCACCCAGAGAGCCAGTTCTGCTAAGCGGGGTAATTGAAGACAGGGATGCATCTGTAGTGCTGGGACGGAGAACATCTGGACCTCAGATGTTGTCCAATTCCAAATCACACCAGTCCCAGTCAACAGTCAAGGATGCTGGAAGTTGTTGTCCAAAAATCTCTGGAGATCCATAGCTTCCCCATCTCTGCTGTAGCCCCCAAATATGGTTTTGTATAACCTTCACCTAGCAATTTGCACATCACAGAGCCTCGGGCTTGCCAACCAGAAGGTCAGCGGTTCGAATCCCTGCGACGGGGTGAGCTCCCGTTGCTCGGTCCCTGCTCCTGCCAACCTAGCAGTTCGAAAGCATGTCAAAGTGCAAGTAGATAAATAGGTACCACCCCAGCAGGAAGGTAAATGGCATTTCCGTGCGCTGCTCTGGTTCGCCAGAAGTGGCTTAGTCATGCTGGCCACATGACCCGAAAGCTGTACGCCGGCTCCCTTGGCCAATAAAGTGAGATGAGCGCCGCAACCCCAGAGTCGGCCATGACTGGACCTAATGGTCAGGGGTCCCTTTACCTTTTTACCCAGTAAGTTGGAGTAAGAAAGGATTTGAACATAGAGTTAATTTCCTGTCTAGCTAATCACCTTGTTGTTAAGGTACTGCTGCAAATCCAATAATGTTTCTTTATGTTCTTTCCAAATTATATTGGTCTGGGTTTAGAATCCAATCCTAATTACGTAGAATAAGATCTTTAACCAGCTCTTTATTCAGATCTATTCAGATAAATGAAATGCCTGTCAGTTCTATCAACAGAGAACCTGGCCTGTATTTGCTCTTGAGATCTTAGAAGTGAGTTGGTAGAAAAAGCAAATGAATGTACTGTCAAAAGGTAACCAAACAAGGTAGAGAAGAATGAAAAGAGCCTCTCTGTTCTTTCACTGTGTGAAAAAGGCCATTGTGCTGCTCTTTCTAAAACACCATCAAAGAAAGGGTTAAGTAGTCATTCTTACTAAATGTGCTGACCTAAATAGGAGGATCCGTCCCACCTCCCTTGTTATCATTGTGAGCTTTATCTCTTCATGGAGACTTTGGAACTGCAAAATGATTCTGGGATGGTTAAACAGAACCAGAATTCTCAGTAATTGCATCTGTGGAGTTCTGAGACAGCCCGCAACCCTCAGCAATACATTAATGCATCTAGAAGTCAAGTCCCAGACCGGACCTTTAAGGAAAAATAATATCCCTTTAGAGCTGGGTGCAAATTAACTGGTCTGGAAATAAAAAACTCATAAAACATTCATTATAAAAAGGGTTTCCCCAGTATCTTAGTTATCATATGGGAGTCTCACCTAACCTGCATAAGAGCTAAACTTGGCAAAGCCCCAGGATGAATATTCTAATAAGGAACACAGGAGAGACTTAAACAGAGAGGAATTTAAAATCCTCACTTTATGTGCCTCTTGGTAATGGACAGCAGGTGTGGTGAAACAATTAAAAGAGATAAAGCAATTATATTTGAATTGATCTAATCGTCTGCTCCCAGTGGGATCTGGAAGAGATCGCTTACTAGAATTACCACTTTTCATCAATAGGTAGACATTCTGGGAAAGTGCATTTCAAGTGACAAAACCATGAACTTTATTTGCATGTGAGTGGGGTTGGTCAAAGCAAAGCGGCCATGGAAAGACTTCTTCCACTGAACTAAAAATCTGCCCCCGTGGGGCAAACAGTGTGCCTTGTTGTTGTGTGCTCACCTGAAGCAGCTTTAATCCATCCACTAATTTCTCAGAATCTATGTGCATTTTATTGCAAAACTCTGACCCCGAAGCACACAAAACAAAACACACACACACAAATTGAACTAAAAGTGTATAACAGAAAAGGAAACCTTACTGGTTTGTAAGGAAAGAAGGAAAAAACAGATCTGACTTTTAAATATTGTTTGAATCACCTTTGTACATATTCCTCCAATTCAGTATTTGCTACTACAGGTGCTCCAGTCTTGGTAGTTGATTGGAAATGTAAACTTCAATTTACACAATTCTTAGGCACATCACTGGCTGCTAGAATTCGCTGCCTTTCCCCTGGCCCTTTTCCTGTGCCTTTAACAGCATTCTGACATGCAGAAAATCATCAAGTTAAGTTTTCTTGGCATGGAAATAAAAGGGATGGGGAAAGTTTGACCTGATTATTGTGGGTGCAAGTGGGGGAGGGAAGGGAAGCTGCTATTAAAGTGGAAAAAAATGGCAATCTTACTGGCTGCTTATTGTCTGTCCGTGCTGACGTTATCCCAGATTTCTGATTTGTTTATAATGGAATCAGTTTTCTGAGTGAGCCTGGATAGCTCAGTTGGTTAGACCATGGTGCTGATAACACCAAGGTTGCAGGTTCGATTCCTGTATGGACCAGCTGCATATTCCTGCATTGCAGGGGGTTGGACTAGATGATCCTCAGGGTCCCTTCCAACTCTACAGTTCTATGATTCTATGATTCTATGAGTGCTCCACCCAAGGGCATAAACAGCCCACATGGAAATGGAGTAGACATTCACATACCCATCAATTTCATCAATCAGTTGTTAGATTTAATAAGCACCATGCTCTCTCCAATTTTTAAATCAGTGAGAACATAAGAGGTGGCGGAACTCAACATGAATGTCTCTGTTGTTCTCTTATAATGGCAATGGTGCCCACCTGAGAGGAGCTTGGACTGATTTTTGGCTTAAAAAAAGCCCTGAACCTGCTGAATCAGACCAAAGGCCTATCCACTCTAGCCCCCTGCTTCTCACAACCAGAGCCTTTGGAAGGCCATAGGCAGGACACATTGTTCCTCAGCAACTTGGGTTCAGAGGCATGGTTCTTCTGAACTTGGAGCCTCCATATAACAGTCGTTACTAGCTCATGATAGCCTTATCCTGCCAAATGGTTATGTGAACTCTTCCGTGCAAGGCAGTAACAAACTTAAATTGCTGTCCAGAGAATGGCACGGTCAGTGCCTGTACCCTCAGATCCACCAATTCATCCTTTAACTATTTGGCAAGAGAATGGCAGGTGGCCAAGCATATTCTCAGGTTGAAGAATGTCCTACAGGATCAAAGGATGAAGAACCAAATCAGTATAATTGCCACGGAAAGGAAGGTACAGGTGCTACAGCTAACAAGTGTTAATCCAGTTTTTTAAATAAGCAAACTGGGAGTACAAAAATCAACATCAAGAATGCAATTCAAGTTGGCATGTGCCAACGTGGTCATGTACGTAGGCTTCCTCAATGTGTGATAGGGCTTTGGAGCGGCAAAAGAAATGGTGTGTCTTTCGTTGTCTGGCTTGTCTTTGTTCACCCCTGTGAAAGAAAGCTCAGATTCAATTATTCATGAGAACTCTATTTTTCCCTTTGGGTAATCTGTAAATAAATGTTAAAAGACCCATGCTCTTTTGATGAATATTCCCTGTTGCTTGTGCAAACGTGTCAGCCTTTAAATGAAACACAGCCATGCTCAGTAGAATTTCCCTTGTTGCTGTCACGAAGGTGGATGTGACAGCAGTTGGCATTCATATGGCTGAGCAATGAGCAACGGTGGTGCTTCCTGAACATTTTAGGAGCGCAGTTAGTAGGACCAAAGTGTCCACCTGTCATTCAGCTCTGCCACATAACCCACACACCTCTGAGTTTTATTTGCATGGCCTGCCCCATCAAGGCTAAGGCGACTTGACTTATAAGGTTTCATCAGCCATTTACAATCACTTAGATCTGGAGATGCCAGCAAGTGGGTTTAACATCAGGGGGCTTGAGTAACTGGTGGACTCCATAGAGCAGGCACCCCCAAACTTGGCCCTCCAGATGTTTTGGGACTACAATTCCCATCGTCCCTGACCACTGGTCCTGTTAGCTAGGGATGATGGGAGTTGTAGTCCCAAAACATCTGGAGGGCCGAGTTTGGGGATGCCTGCTATAGAGGAAGCAGCTACTGGGAGCTGTTGCATTCATGCCCTGTTTCCCTGGGGCATCTGATTGTCTACAGCAGAAAGCAGGATGCTTAATTAGGTAGGTCTTTGGTTGCTCTTTTCATCCTCTTAGGAAGAAATTTTAGTTCAGCTTTATGCAGAAAGTTTTTTTATAAAAAGTTCAGCTGGTAGGTCACCCTCACACGAAAAGGCTCTATCCATATTTGCACCAAGGATGTGCTGGTTATAACTATGGTTCTTAGTATGGTTCTATGATATCCTTCCTCAGCTAGGCATGTGGAGTTCCAGATTGAAATCTCCACTCAGCCTTGAAGCTCACTGTGTGTGCTTGGACAAGCTGCTTTTCTTCTTTCAGGCTGCTTGACTTCCCTCACAGGGTAGATGTGGGGATAGCCTAGAGGTGAAAGAAGTATGTTGTACACTGCCCTGAGTTTCTTGGGAGGAGAGGCATGAAATAAAAGTAATAACAGAATATCAGAACTGGGAAGGTAAAGTGCTTTCAGTTACTAAAGCGTAAGTAAAAATAAAAGTTCAGCGCAGATCTCTCTTTTTCCTCATTCTGAGTGTGATGCCAACTGCCTGGGGTTAGAAATGAGCTTTCTCTGTGAGTAGGATATCATAAGTGTTTGTTTCCTTTCTCTCCCCAAAGGCTTCTCTCAGTGCCCACAGCACTCACTGCTGTCAGGGACTTTAAATTTTTCTTGCCATATTAAGGATTAAAAACAGAAAGCTAAATTTCTCTGTATTTCACACTTACAATGCCATCAGAGATTATTTCTTTTCTTTTCTTTTGCTGTATTCAATATACCCCATTCACAGAGTTGATGTTAAAATAAATCCCAGACCAGTTAGAAGAACAACATTAATCCTTTCCTCTACCACTTCTAGAGTCCTTAACACAAGTATCTTCTCTGCCCGATCAGTGGCCACAATCCAATACAGAGTTAGGAACGCTTAAACCGACTGAAAGAACTTAAGAACACTTAGTGTTTTATTGTGGCCAATGACAATAGAATACTAACTTAACCAGTTGGCAAACTGCTCCAATGTGGATAGAAAGAATGGAATAAAGTGCATTAGCCATAGGCAACTACATAGCCTTCCCCCTTATGTACTGGGATTCCAGCTACCTCTGAATATCAAAGGTATAGAGGGAAAAAATCCTATATTTATATAGAAGGACATACTTTATTTCAGTACATTCAAAAACAAACCGGGGGGAAAGAAACCAAGAACAGGTTATTTGACCTGTGTTCATTTGTCATCACTTTGTTTTTCTTCCTTGTATTTTTACAATCAGGAATTGCATAGAATTGTCAATCAGGAAATCGAACTCCTCCCACGGAAAACCTGCAACTGCTCAAAACCGTTGCTAAGGATTTCCTGGCTGTTGGTCCATTCTTCTCATAGGTCTTCAAAAGACACCATGGACATTGCTGGTGTACCTTCACTCAATGATATTTCATAGCAAAGAAACCCTCTTATAGAGAGAGGATGATGTCTAGGTCATAAGTGAGTCTATTGAACTTGGGGATGGTGATTTTTCGTCTTAAGAACAGAGCTGATCGTGAGGACCTCTCTCTTAACACAGTGTTAAAACTTGACTTTCAAAAGCTGACAACCTGGGATAGTTAAATTCTACCACCCCCTGCTGGGGGGAGAATACAGAATTCCACGTCCCCAACCTGCTCTCCTACTGGTTAGCTTTCTCAAAATGTGTACAAAGAAAGACCAATGTGAGGGGGGGGGAGTTGTTTAAGAAAGCAAGACAGACACAGGTACCCTGAAATTCTAGCTGTTATCAAGGCCTCCAAGTTCAGTGTGTTAGTTGGTTTTTGGTATTTGTAACTCTTTGAATGGACTTTCTTTGTTGGTAGCTGCACTTATATGGGACTTAACCCTTCCCCTCTTCCGCAACCTCACCTGACCCTGGGAAAGTTGTGTGAGCTCAGTACCCGAACTCAGGAGTGCTGGATCCCTCTAGGTCCTGAAGTTCCAACAATAAAATAAAGAAAATTATCCTCCCCACCACAAATTCCAAAAGAAAAGACCCCCCCCATGAAGAAGTCCTTGTGGCAATAATGTTTTTTCACCTGGTTTAGGATATTTGTGACTCTGGTTGCCACCAGCTCAGTGTGACTTGCTTACCCCATACCTCAAGTTTCTGAGGAGCAGGCAGTTGAGGATGGGTCCTCTCAGCCTAGCTAGAGGGGCGTTCTCTTAATGTTTCAGAAAGTAGGTAGGTTAGATACTTTCTCATATAAGACAGGTAACAAAAGTTCCCATTGGGCTCAGCCCCCAGCCTAAAGCTTTGATTTGCTCTTGGCAAGCTGGGGTGCCTCTTTATTAATTTAAAAAGAGTTCAACACTGTGTACAAGTCTCATGTTCTGTAAAATGGAACATTTAGCTTCTTTTGCTGCCACCGTCTCCCCACTGTTTTACTCAGGCTCACTGCTGTTTGTTGCTTTCTCCCATTCCAAGCTCTCGTCGCTTTGCACGGGGGAATCTGGCCCTGGCCGGACCCGAAGGCCTTGGAACCTCCGGCATTCTGGACACACCCGGATGTGTGTGCAACCCCGAGCGACCAGGACGGCTTCTTGTGCAAGTCTCTGTGCCAGCTGCTCAGGGTCGCCGCCACCACAGAGCTTTCCGTTGCTTAGCATGGTTGTGGTGTGGGCTCTCCGTTCTTCTTGTATAACAGGGCGAGTCCGTATGATCCCCCCTCGCCTCCGACGGGGGTGGAAACTGTCCTTGCAGAGAATGATGCTGCGCAGCTCTGTCACCATTTCCTGGCAGACGGATACCTATCAGAGGCCCGAGAAAAAGAAGAGCAGTTTCAGAAAGATATTGTCCCAAGGTCACCTTCTATCTTTCTGGTTTCCTGGGGGCTCTCTCAAATGCTCAGTAACCCTTTCTCAACAGCCTGCCTGTTTATTGGGACTTGGGTGGCGCTGTGGGTTAAACCACAGAGCCTAGGGCTTGCTGATCAGAAGGTTGGTGGTTCGAATCCCCGCGACGGGGTGAGCTCCTGTTGCTCGGTCCCTGCTCCTGCCCACCTAGCAGTTCGAAAGCACGTCAAAGTGCAAGTAGATAAATAGGTACCGCTCCGGTGGGAAGGTAAACGGCATTTCCGTGCGCTGCTCTGGTTTGCCAGAAGCGGCTTAGTCATGCTGGCCACATGACCTGGAAGCTGTACGCCGGCTCCCTTGGCCAATAAAGCGAGATGAGTGCCGCAACCCCAGAGTCGGTCACGACTGGACCTAATGGTCAGGGGTCCCTTTACCTTTACCTAGAGGCAAATATTTTTCTTTGTTTCCTGGGCAAAACTGCTGGTCCATCTTTGGATCCTAAGATCCTTGCGACCACATCAGAACTGGGGTTAATCATCCACAGTTGAACATCCCTGTTTGGTTTAAGCCTCAATAACGCTTTGGCTTAGTTCTTACTGGGATGATGAATCTGTGTCTGTGCTGTACTACTTTACTCACGGAATGCTCTCCCATGCAGAAAGAATAGAAGTCCCTGCATGTAGAAAACTAGATGGAGACAGATTCAAGTATAGCTTTTGTACTAGCTTTCTCTGTGTGGGGTTTTCTTTTGGTTTTAAATGAAGGAACATTCGGTCAAGGGGTGCAGCCCAGCTACAGGTTTACTCACATCAGTGAGATGTGAGGACTAGGTCTTGGTTTCTTCATGGGTTCTAGAATTGGAGGTCTTAAGCATATCAGCACTTGCCCTGGAACCTTTTGCTGCTCTAAGCTCCCTCCCCTTCATTTAGTAATACATGAGTTTTATGTCTCGGTCACATATTTCCAGCTTAATTTTATTTATTTTCTGTAAGCAGATAACACACACAATGATGTCACATGAATCAAGGCATTTTCTACTTTTCGAACCAAGTACAGTACACGTATATTCGACATGACGTGAAAATGGAAGGACTTGCATGAACCAGGGGAAAATTACAAAGTAAAAATCCAAATTATTTTCCCGACTTCTACTAACAACAATAACCATGTAATATGCCTGTGAAGATGGCGACAAGTAAGGCTGCTTGTCATCGAGCTCTGCAGTATGTTCTAGTTTCAATTCGTTTTTATCTGAATAGTTTTAAAGTCATTTGGCTCAGCAGTTATTGCTAATTGTTACATACAACCAAGGAGCTTATCTGTTTTACTTTTAGGTGGGCTTAAAAGCCATACATTTTAATTGGAGGGCAGGCACTGAGAGAGCAGCTGTTTCGGCTCAGTATTTTTAACTGATAAGAAACACTTAGAACAGGCATCCCCAACCTGCGGCCCTCCAGATGTTTTGGCCTACAACTCCCATGATCCCTAGCAAACAGGACCAATGGTCAGGGATGATGGGAATTGTAGTCCAAAACATCTGGAGGGCCGAAGGTTGGGGATGCCTGACTTAGAAGATCATCTAGACTAAAGGATACACTGCAGTTTTTACAGATTTATCATGGTTATTACACAAGCGCAGACCCACAGTGTTTCAGATAAAGCATCCAGAACTTCATTGCCAAACTTAGTCCAGAAATCTATGCTGGACTACTGTATCTCAGCAAGTGAGACAGAAGTCTCTGTGAAATAATTGTGCCAACATGTAATTAATATGTCTTACGTAGACAGCCCTGTCCTCTTCAGTATTTCTCAACCTTGGGTCCCTAGCTGTTTTCGGACTACAGTTCCCATCATTCCTACCCACTGGTCTTGCTAGCTACGGATGATGGGAGTTGTAGTCCCAAAACAGCTGGAGGGACAATAATAAATAATAATAATAAATTTTATTTATATCCCGCCCTCCCCAGCCGAGCCGGGCTCAGGGCGGCTAACAACAGTCAAATAACAATCAAATAATAGCACATTCTAAAAATATTTCGTTATAAAAATTAGTTAAAATCAAATTGATGGCAACCGATTAAACAAAATACTGTGCAGGTTGCCGGAGGAGGGAGTCAGGCTGCGCCCTGACCAAAAGCTTGGCGGAACAACAAGTCTGGGGATGCTATGTTTATCCTGCAGAATGGCAAAATGTCCAGGAAAACTATGTGATCTTCCCTTCAAGTACCTGTAGTCCAAAAACAGCTGGAGACCCAAAGTTGGGAAACACTGCAGGGGGCTAGAAATGTCTTCTCCCAATTAAGAGCTTTTGCTACATATTCCTCTAATGAAACCTTAGCTAACTGGTCGGTCGATCCAGACTTGCTAGGAGCTGATATATATGCTGTAAGGCAACCTCAGCTTCTTCCGTACAACAACATGTCAACTGTGTAATAACAGTCTTGGCATAATAGACTTGGCCACAACAGAGACTGAAACTCCCTCACTGTGGGAACTTTTACGCAACCAATGTCTTCTGTCTAAACAAACAGCAGAAGGAATCTTTACTAGAACTGATTCATTGGAAAAGAAAGTTCTGGGTTTGAATGCCAGAATTGGTACACTGGTTGGGTTAGTGGAGACAAGAATTCTGACAGTAGCCCTGCAAGATACCTACCAGCAAAGAAACTAAAATTAGAGATGGTTTGAAGGTACATCAAGACGGGGATAGATCTGAGTTTGCTAAGTTCCTATCAGATTCAATAACAAAAAGGTTAAATGACATCTGTCAAGATTAGAACTTGAGCTCAGAAACCTGCTTTTACACTAATATGAATCCTCAAGAGATGGACTTGGGGGAGTTGTTTTCCATTCTTAACTTGACCCCTTCTGATCCAAGGCTACTGATAGTGGATGAGTATGCTGATAACCCACTTGCTACCTTCCAAGGAAATGATCTTGGGCTGTCACCTAATCCAATTTGTTTAAACCCCAATCTGGCATCTTTTGATGGATCTGGAGACTTCAGGTCAGCACTCTGCATTTCCTGCTCCCCAGCACAGAAAGGAGGAAAAGGCAGTAAATTGTTCTACCCGGACACTGAGATCCAGCGCTGAGGGCCTTCTGGCGGTTCCCTCACTGCGAGAAACCAAGTTACAGGGAACCAGGCAGAGGGCCTTCTTGGTAGTGGCGCCCGCCCTGTGGAACGCCCTCCCATCAGATGTCAAAGAGAACAACAAGTACCAGACTTTTAGAAGACATCTGAAAGCAGCCCTGTTTAGGGGAGCTTTTAATGTTTTATGCATTACTGTATTTCAATATTTTGTTGGAAGCCACCCAGAGTGGCTGAGGAAGCCCAGCCAGATGGGCGGGGTACAAATAATAATAATAATAATAATAATAATAATAATAATAATAATAATTGTTATTATTATTATTATAAAATACTGGGGAAAATAGTGAATGAGAGTGTAAGTCCAAATTCCAATGATGATTTTTTTGAGAAAGAGTTCCTCAGATGTTCTACAGGTAATCATTCATAACTGGCCAGTGAAGAAATCCAGCGGTATAATGAGAACAATCTCAATTGCAAGCAGGAATTCAAGCAAAATGCAGGTATTGGAAGAAATATGCCCAGGTTAGAGACCCAATACTCCTACCCTGCTAGCAATCTATTTCCCGGAAATCAAAGGGATTATCCATCAACAAATGCTCAAGATAAGCCCAGGCCTAGGGGTAATTATAGAAAAAGAAATTATTATACCTTCAGCTCTCCTTTAAGATACCATAACTGACTAGAAAACATCCAGAAAGGTCTTAACATTCATTCCTGGAACCTGGCGGGTTGGGATAATAAAAAGGCGGATAAAGATTGAGCAGCGATATTCAAGAGAACGATATAGTAATCATCTGACAAGCTTGTGTCAACTCTTTATGGACAAATCTCCAAATCTTGTTGATGTCTTCCAGCAAATTGTCACAGAACTCAGGCCCTATTTGATAACTTCTGCAGTTACTAACTACACACAATCAACACGCCGTGGCTGGTTTAACGGTCAACACAAGGTAGCTAAGAAAGTTCTGGCCAGGCAATTAGAGATTTGCATAAGAAGCCATGAGAGGAATCCATGGAAAATTCTATGTAACGTAGATTGGAATGCAAAAGTCTGCTCAAAAACAAAAAGGTGTATATATGAAAACCCAGTGGCAGGAATTGGGACTAGCAGTAATGGAACAGAGGGAAGATGATTTCTATGAACTAGTGGCCCGGGGTGTAAACAAAGTGATCATCATAGGAAGCCTCAATTCCTAACTCTGATTGGGTTAAATATTTCTCCAATACATTTGGCGGTTATTCTGGGCAATCACATGTAGCAGCAGTGTATGGATTTCTCAAACCTACCAAAGCATTGTAATGAGATAAAAGCCCTTATTTCCTACCTGAAATCAAATGAAGCTCAAGGAGAAGATACACTTTCATCCAAGCTCTATAAGGAATATATAGAATGGTGGGTGCTTATCCTGGCTGGCTTGTTTACCACAATAAAAAACACAGGACAAATGCCCTCTGAATGAAAAAATGAGAATTGTTTCCCTGATTAGAAGAATGGGGTTAGAAATGATCTACAAAACTATTGGCCAATTAGCTTGTTAGACATCTCCTCAAAGCTCTATGCGTGATATCCTCTTCAAAAATTATCAGATTGGTTGCAAAATAACATAATTCATGAAGAACAAGCAGAATTCAGAGGACACAGTACTATTGATGCTTTACTCTGAACCATATTATAAGGAAATATACTAAGAATATTAAGAACAACCTTTATGCACCCTTATTGATTTTTCTGCTGCATTCGATTCTATTACTGTATTCGAAAAAGACTGGGAGAAATTTCAGATTGCCAACATCGACTGCAGACGTCTGCTATTGATTCGAGAACTATGCAGCAATGCAGAAATGAGGGTCAAGGTAGGTTTAAATGGTGGTATGACTGATGATTTTAAAAAATCACGAGGAGTGAAGTAAGGTTGCATTCTGGCTCCCATGCTTTTAAACCTTTATATTAATGAGTTGGTGCCATATTTAGCCAACGCATAGAATACTTGGTAGTACAGATAAAAATAAATCACTTCATACTTATTTAGCACCTTTGAAAATTGCATGCTGTTTTCTGCAAAGCTTATACAATAGTGGCCGTGTTAACATAATATCTCCTGGCTTTTCCCCAGCTGCCCCCAACTCTCATTTGAAAAGGGAGCTTTTCTGTTATCATAAGCGTTCATTCTTTGTCCACACAGTATATATTGGGCACAGCAGCTCCCTTCCAAAATCCAGCAATATCAATTTTTGCTGCTGAAAGCAAAAAAATAAAAATAAAAAATGCCAAAATGTTTTTATAACAAGTTGGTTTTTTATAATTCCCCAGTGAGCTGAACAACACCATGGGATTTTTACAGTACCTTATTGTTTAAGACATCCTCTGGCTCACCACCACAGAAAAGCCGTTATTTATCACATGTGCAATAGTGTGCCTCTGGCTTTAAACTCTTCCAAAGAAGCACTATAATGGTTTTTTCTTTCTTTCAAAAAGCTCATTTTAAGATGTATGAGATTTTACAAAATACTTACTGTTCCCTTTGCACACCATAAATGTATCTTATCTTATTCTCCACAACAATTAGAACTTGTTTCTCTTTTATTGAGTGTCCAAAGTACCCCGTTCTCACCATCCTCTCATCAATGCAACAACTCTGGTAAAGAAATGAGTAGTTTTGTCCCCATATTGCAGATTGTTTCAGGAGAACTAGTGACTAGTTTAATTTGTGGAAATTTCCTTGAGAGCATTACTTCATTTTCTCCAATCGTCCATTCATATACTGGTTGCTTGCATGCTAAAGGTAAAGGGACCCCTGACCATTAGGTCCAGTCATGGCCTACTCTGGGGTTGTGGCGCTCATCTTGCTTTATTGGCCAAGGGAGCTGGCGTACAGCTTCCGGGTCATGTGGCCAGCATGACTAAGCCGCTTCTGGTGAACCAGAGCAGCGCACGGAAACGCTGTTTACCTTCCTTCCTATTTATCTACTTGCACTTTCGAACTGCTAGGTTGGCAGGAGCAGGGACCGAGCAATGGGAGCTCACCCCATCGCAGGGATTCGAACCGCCAACCTTCTGATCAACAGGTCCTAGGCTCTGTGGTTTAACCTACAGCCCTACCCGCGTCCCTGCTTGTATGCTACTGAGCCCAAATCAAGGAGTTAACGTTCATCTTCAAAGCCCCAAATAACTTGGGACTGGAATACTTGAAAATACTGCCTCTCCCTATATCACCCTATCTGGACCCTACCTAAGACCTTCAGGAAAGACCCATCTGGAGGGACCATCACTAGGTGTGGCGCATTGTTCATTGGCTCGGAAAATGGCTTCTCTGTTGTGGCACTTGGGTGATGGAATCCGCTTTCCTCCATCCGGTGCTATTGCATATGGCTTTATATGGCATTATATGACTGAAGATGGACCACTTCACCCTGACTTATGGACTTATGGGGCTGTAATTGAGGAATGCTCATCTATAGGTTTGGGGTTGGTTTTAATCTGGTTTTAATTTGTTATACAGGCAATGACTGATTAATTCCCATCTGGAAGATATGTGATCACATGCATGGTGCTGAACCCAGCAGTGATTGAAAATGCCAGAAAAAGGATGGAACGGGGGTGGGGCAGGGGTACTTATAAGCTCTCCACTGACACATGTTATTGTCAGGGGATGGAACACCTACATAAAATGGTTGTTGACTATACTGTATTTTTCATAGTTCTAATACATGGGTAGGCAAACTAAGGCCCAGGGGCCAGATCCAGCCCAACTGCCTTCTCAATTCGGCCTCTGGACGGTCCAGGAATCAGTGTGTTTTTACATGAGTAGAATGTATCCTTTTATTTAAAATGCATCTCTGGGTTATTTGTGGGGCCTGCCTGGTGTTTTTACATGAGCAGAATGTGTCCTTTTATTTAAAATGCATCTCTGGGTTATTTGTGGGGCATAGGAATTCGTTCATTTTTTTTCCTTTTCAAAATATAGTCCGGCCCCCCACAAGGTCTGAGGGACAGTGGACTGGCCCCCTGCTGAAAAAGTTTGCTGACCCCTGTTCTAATATACAGTGGTGCCTCGCAAGACGAAATTAATCCGTTCCGCGAGTCTCTTCGTCTTGCGGTTTTTTCGTCTTGCGAAGCACGGCTATTAGTGGCTTAGCGGCTTAGCGGCTATTAACGGCTTAGCGGCTTTAAGAAAAAGGAAACAAACTCGCAAGAACTCGTAAGATGTTTCGTCTTGCGAAGCAAGCCCATAGGGAAATTCGTCTTGCGGAACGACTCAATAAACGGAAAACCCTTTCGTCTAGCGAGTTTTTCGTCTTGCGAGGCATTCGTCTTGCGGGGCACCACTATATATGCAGCTATGTTTGTAAACTATCCTGGGATCACATGTGATAAAGGGGGGGGGGTATAGTGAATTATAACAAAAAAACAGCAACATCACACTGCCTTTCTAAATATATTGACTTACATTTGTTAGCACTATAGAGCTCAGTCAGATAATTTTAGGGAAACGTTTTGGTGCCAAGATGAGCTGCGTCCGTATTTCCTGGAAGCCCCCCCCCTCCCCAAAACCCCATCATTCCATGTTGGTTCACTACAATTTACAGCCCCAATTATCTACAGCTTCAACGTTTTGTGTTTGTTTGAAAAATAGCCCTTGTGATTAGTAACAATGACATCACCATACAGCCAATCATATTTAGCTACGTGCTGAGATAAGTATGGGCAGACAAAGCTGTTTTAGAGTAAGGGCGTGACTTTTGCAATAGATGTTACCCTTGCTCTGAACTAGATTCATTTGCTTGTGTCATCAGCACGTAGTCAAGTATGACTGGCTGGGTGATAAACAAAATAGATGTATTTCAAACAAAAATCATTGCCAATCACTCATTCCATTACACAAAATAATCATTAAAAGGGTCCATAAAAGATGTCCAAAAATGGCAGATATAGGCGGGGGGTAGGGGAGGAAAATGTTTGTAAAATGCACCCATTCTGGTTTTGCCCTAGTTAACAGGGAAATATCTGGAGCTAACTTGGCTTGTCAGCTATCCAAAGAAACATATTGTTACCAGTATGTGGACTTAGAAAAAAGTTGTTGCCTGTTAGGATGCCACTAATTAGAATGTACACCTCAATATGTACCTAGGGGTTTAATTTTTTTTTTTAAAAAAAGAAATGGATTTCTTTGAAGTCCAGTGCTATTCTTAGTTGTGCCAAAATGTAACACAAAACATATGCATAGAACAATATGTACATTTCAGTCAGATCTGGTTTTATATGAAATGGACATGTAGTAAGTAATGTGAGAAGAAACATTAACATAATTCATCATAGTAAAATGAGAAAAAAGTCTCTTGGTGCTGACACAGAGAAGGCACTTAGTCATCTGAATTGGCAGTGTTTAAAAGCAATGTTAATTGTAATGGAATTCAGCTCCAAATTTATTGGAATGATTAATTCTCTATATATTCTGAGGCAATTGTGAATCACGTATTGTCAGTAATTTCTTTTGAAAAGAGGGAGAAAGCAGAGATGCATTCCTTCCCTGTTTTTGTTTAGTAGTTCTGTTTGTACCCTTTGCTCCTGAGAATCGTAAAATAGTAGGTTATAGCAGTAGCTTCAAAAACATGAAAGAACAGCCAGCTTGCAGATGATACCACTTTAATTTAGAGTAGCTATATTTCATGAAATCAAGACAGAACTGAAGGAATATCAGCATATTTGAAGCAGCAAAGTTAAAGTCAGTAAATCAGAATCATTAGAGATATATTTGATAAGTAGCTTAAAATAATATGTCAAGTATTTATCATATAAATAGTTAGTTACTATATGCTGGGATAAATATATCTTTTGATGAGACAAAAATATTTAGTTTAGTTTAGTTTCTACTGTTCCATGCTCCCAAACTCATGTGTGGGAAACTACAACTCACCACTCCCATGTACTAGGAAATTCATCATCAATTCTACAATTTGGCTTAAATTTAAAATCGATTAAGAACTAAATGGGCCATCATTGGACGATGAGCCACTGGTCTGATCCAGCAGGCTCGTCTTAGGTTCTTATGTTTGTAGCTTCTTTTTCATTGGCAAAAGATTGGGAAATGTGAATACATCAAAATGAATGTGGAATGAGGAGATCAGCAAATAGGTAGCCATCTTGGTTTCTGGCAGTGGTATTTCATGAACTACTATTTTCAATTCTATTCCATCAACTATGAGGGCCACTTCATATGTTACACGATTTTCAGCACAAAAACTATATTCTCCTGCAGAGTGAAGCCACGCTTAATAATGGAGCTTAGCATATTGGACCGAGAAGGGGGAAGGGGGAAGAGACTGGCGTACAAAATGACCTACACACAGATTACACGCCTGTTCCTACACGGAAGTGCTTCCCATATTAGAAATGTATCACAATGTCTACCATTCACACTGAAATACCCAAGCCATATTTCTTTATGCCCGTATCCAGATTTTTCAGTCTTTCTTATTCCAAGCTCCACCACTACATTTTCATAGGCGACATCACTCACTGAAACAATCAGTCTTATTTAGGATTTTCGGTACATTTGAGAACCCATCAGATTGTTCACTTGGTACCCAACAATTGTGACTCATGCTTGATGAAATGTTAGAATGTACACCTGGCGAAGGCTTACCTCGGAGTGTTCAGAGTGTCGGAGGTTCCATAAGAACTCAAGCATTGCCATAAAAATCGCTACGATTAAACCACATATCAGAACCACAAAGATTCCACCTATATTCTCCATTCCTAGGCCTGAAAAACAAAACAAAGGAAAAATAGGAAGAACAACAATATTAATATGCAGGGATTTTTTTCAGCTTGAAATCAGTTCCGGCACCTCTCAGGTGGCCGCCATTGCCATTCTAAGAGAACGAGGGAGGTGTTCATGGTGAATACTGGGATCTCTTTTTCTAGAAAAATAGCACTGTTAATATGTTAGGCAAACTTTTAAGGAACTATTTTTTTTTTATTCATTGGGGTGAATGGGCTGATCTAGCCCTTGGCTGATTGGGAGCAGGCATCAAGCTCACCGCTCCAACAGAACCTTACTATTCTGGTTTTACTGTCCAAAAACAGTGACTCAGGTGTTGCTGGAGAGCAAGAATCTGTCTTGGCTCAAACCATTACCCTTTTTGTCTGAACGTGAACTAGAAGAGACCTAGCTGCACAGGGCAAACTGAGCTGTAAGTGTCCTGATGAAGGCTCTCTCTACTGACAGGCTGATTTAGGGCAGTGCGAGTGGTGTGATCCCACCGGGTGCACAAGAGAGGGCACTTTCTCAAAGCCCGGTAAGTGCTTGCTTGCCTGCCTTTGGGAAGGAGGCGTGAAGGCTCTGACAGGGTCCTAGAGTCCTACTCCCTCCTCAAAGACGGGCAAATGCTTACTGTCCTCTTGGAAGGAGGTAGGAGGGCCCTAGGACCCTGCCAGAGCCTCACACCTCCTTCTCAAAGCCCAGCTGGGGGCTGCTGGGAGGGCACTAGATAGCCTTGCACGGGGTGGCTTATTATCAAATTCCACCCCTGCTATTGGTTTGAACAAGGGAATAATCCTGCCCTCCATTCAGACATGCCTAGAGACACCTGTGCCAAGTGAGCAAGGTAACACAGTTATGCCTTGGACATAACCTGAAGCTTCAAACATGTGAAACACACAGTGCGAATACAAGAACACCTTAGTTGTGAGTATCAAATGGTGCAGACTGGTGAAGAGTTGGAATGACTCCTGCACCATCACTGTGATTTAATGGTTGTGGAAAGAGAATGTTAGTTATACTCCCTTGCATATAAAGGGTATATCCATTGCGCCCTTGTGCTAGCAGATGGGCAAGTTTGAATATTGTGTAACCGAAGACTCCAATGCAACAATTGTACTAGTGGAAACACGTTGCAGAAGAGATTTAGTTATTTCTTTCTTATTTCATGTAATGTATACAAAAAACCCTCAAAGCATCTGTTGTGCAGCAAAAGTTACCAGTAACCTGCTTATGCATTCTGCTGGCACAGAACATTTTGCCAGGGGGGCAAGTATACCACTAAATGACTTTAACTTAGTGCTAGATTGGAATCAACCAAGGTTTGCACAAAAACATTGAAACTACTAAGCCAACACATCAAATCCGGAAATAGAAAGATAGCTATAGGGTGTTGGGGGCCCAGCTTCAGCAAGCTACAGTAGGATGAATTTATCTTGTGATCCACCCTAAGATCTTTTGATGAAGGGCAGTATATAAATCATAATCATAATAATTACTGGTGGACAGATGGTTAAAAGTAAGTGTTCCTTTAAATCATCTGACAAATAATTTTCCACTACAGGTATGCTTGAGTAGTTGATGGAATACAGATAATATAAGCTATAAGAGCAGTCAGATAAATTGTTCTCTACATATACCTTGCCTGGGTCAAAGCATTAGACATTTAACAAAGAGAAGCATGTAAATTAAAGAGTAGGAAGATGACAATGGAATTATAACATTTGGTAGAAGTATAGCGTGTATTTTGATCTGTGACTATAGTGTACAACTTTGGTTATTTTTTAAAAGTAGGATAGAGAAGATCTAATTTGAGATTTCCACTTCGTTCTTAGCTGTAAATAATGATGGAGGAGTCCTTTCCTGGGCTGCTTTTATTTGAAACAAGAACACAGAACATTTGAAGGGAAATGAATGTAGAGGAAAAATCAACTTGACATATGCTACAGATTGGATCTGAGACATGGCCCCCAAGTGATCAGGTTTCCTCTGTTTCTTTCTACTGCTCTGCCTTCTATCTTTTATTGTTACCTTCAACCTTCATGCAGCTCCTTCAAATGCCATCATTCCACATACCTGTTGTTCCTCAAGGGAGTGAAAAGAAGGAATTTGAGAGTTTTAAGGCCTACTGTTACTCATTGAAGTCCTTTCAAATTCTACAGGGCCAACCCAATAGATACCATTCTAGGATCCATTTCAACTTTTGAAATTCTGATTTCCCTTTTCTGTCAATTCATAAGGAAGACAAGGCACCTGTCTCTCATCCACTCCTGTTGGAATAACACTAATCAGCAGGTCATGGTCTGCTGGACTTAAGATAAAAATGGTCATAGCTGAGCGTGTAAGTCTTGGTGAAGATCTAAGCAGGAATGGGGATATCTGTTAAATTTTGGTGTCAGTCGGATTCTCATTTTTCCATTCTTAAGTTTACTCCTTCGTTTTTCCACATTAGTTTACAGATTATTATTTTTTAAAGAAGAGTCATCAAGAACATTTAGTGCAAATTTCTCCTAAACTGCCCATTTTTATATGCAGTTCTGCCTAATTGTCAATGTATTTTGTATGTTATTTTCCCCAGGGCTTTTTTCTAGAAGGAGAGTTGCCGGAACTTGTTGAGCTTTTTCAGGGGGAGCACTCAGCTAAAGTTGTTGAGATTTTTTAAGGGAGAAAACCCCACCACCACCACACAGCAACGATTGCCGTGCATATTAATAAGCTGGAGAAGTCCATTGCAAAATTCAGAGACATATGCATGACAAAGGATGGCTGTGATTCAGCTCACACATTATTTCAGAAAGTGCAGATTAGGCAGGTTCATCTTTAAATGTGAACAGAAGCAAACGTCTCCCCAATCCCTGGATCTAAGCAACACCTCTCTCTCCACCGCTGCTGCTTGTTACTTGGATCTCAGATGGACTTAACTGTTGATTGAATTGATGACCACGAACCATTTGTTGGCTTGTGCCAAGATTATTGTGTACAACTATTAATCACCTAGGACACTTGTAAAATCTTCCTCTCCCCTCTGGAACAGTAAATCAAAGCATGAGAATCGATGATTTATTGACTTAATCTCCGCACAGCTTTTAGACATAAAGCCTCGCCACCACCCCTTATAAATCATTGACATGCTTTGTTTTATTTTTTAAAGTATAGGGTCATTCCTCTCCATTGTTCTCCACCATCCTTTCAGCAGCACCTCTGGGATGTTCCTGCCGCTCAGTAAATCACACCTGTGTAAGCAGATGTGTTTTCAATAGAGTGGTGTAAGAAAGTAAGACGAGTGTTGTTGGACCAGATCAATCTAGCCCAACATTCTGTTCCAACAATGGCTGACCCACAAACAGGGCATGAGCACAACAGAACTCTCATACATAAATACGCACACACACACAAGTTGGTAGAGCATAAGGCTCTTAATCTCAGGGTAGTGGGTTCGAGCCCCATGTTGGACAAAAGATTCCTGCATTGCAGAGGGTTGAACTCAATAACTCTCATGATCCCTTCTAACTCTGTGATTCCAAGTGGTAAGAATTTTTGTCCCTGGAAGCAAAAGACTTGACTTCCTGTTCCTCCCATTGTGTACTGTAACAACTGAAAGCATTCAGATTGTGCCAGAACCACTTTGGTCCATGCCAAAGATCCATGATCTGCCGTACAATCACAGCTAGGCCTGCTCCTAGTCTTCCTTGCTTGCACTACAATCAGCCCACCTGCTGCTTTTTGTTTTCCTGGCTGGGACTTGTCAAAGCCCGCTTTCTTCCTCTGCACTCCTGACTGAGTGACAGGTCTCTCTATCCCCCTTTTCCGCTTCCCTCCATGTCAGCAGCAACCATTTCATAATTTATCAGTTTATTTTCGTCCCTTTGAAGCTCAGTTATGTGTTTGAGATGTCAAGATAACGCAATTAGCGTTCCGTCTCCAGATGTCTGACGCTGGCCAGTCAGGCTCTGGGAAGTGCTTCCATAATGCAATCCTGTCTCTGCAAAAATGGTTAGAATGGCTAGAAATGGTTTAGAGTGAGATATGAAATCAATACGAAATAATATATTCTAATTCTTTGACAAAAGAGTCAAGGAGATTCTTGTAGATCCCCCTCCCCACATCTTTAAAGATTTCAAACCTTTTTTGGGTAGCGGGGGGCGGAATTAGGGAGAAAATACAACCTATTTTAAAACTGTTTCTCACCCCCCCCATTTTCTCACCTCTGTGTTCAAGATCAGATCGTTCAGGTCATACAGCTTTCAGATGTCTACTTCTTTCCCTTGCTCTGCATGGATATGTACCCACAAGAAAATGATTTGGCAGATGATGGGCGTGTATTGTTACCCCGATTGTGTTTCTCTGTCATGCTTGATTTTCCTGCTTCCCCTTTCCTCCCCAGTCTTGCAAGGGTCAAAAAGACCTTCCTATAGCCAGGAAACCTTTTATTATCCAATGAAAAGAAAACCCGTTCTGCTTGCTGCTGAACAACAACAACAACTAGCAATTGCTTTGGGCCGGCAACAGCTCCCAGTTGGGCGGCATTGGCCTAAAGTCATGTATTTTATGGTGATTTGCATAACATTTCCGGAAGGTCTTGCCCTTGAGCTCCAGAGTTTTATTATTACTCTGTCACTTGCCCTCCCACTTCTAACCATTTTTAGTTTTGGACCATTAGCCAGCAACCTCTTCTGATGAAGTCCCATTGTTGTTTTTAAAGGACTCGGGATCTGGACAGCATCCCCAGAGTGATCTATTTTCTGATGCCGATGCAGTGGCCATTCATTAGAAACCCGTTTGCCCTCTGCTTGCTTCCAATATTTGTCATTTGGCTCTTTTCCGCTCTCTTTGCCCCGGGCAAAAATACACAGCGTGAGAGGCACAGCAGCAGCCAGTGTTTCGGCTTTCTCCTCTCATTATTAAAGAAAGAGATCTCAAACCAGGAGGACGCTAAAATCCTTGAGCTGGAAAGGTGACACAGCCCTGGAGCCTGCAGTCGCTCTCATCGGTAATAACGACCCCATCCCTGTACATCTTCATTAAGGAACACAGACTGGAGGGAGGAAGAGAGACAGCTGTAAGTTTTACCTTTTGCTCGATGGTCCTCCTCTTTGGGGCACTGCCCTCCCGCCCACCACTTCCGTTTCAAGATTTCCAAGCGGTTGTTCTCCTGCAGCTGGAGAATGGCCAAGTCAAACTCGTCGCGGAAAAGAGAACCTGCAAAGCCAAGAAGGCCCTTTTCAAAGGGGAGCAGATAATGTGTCTGTTTCTTTATAAATGCATAATTTACTTGCAGAGTTGAAATTTGCAAGGCTATCCCTAAACTTTGCATTGCTTTCAGCCTTAAACAAAACCGCAGGCAAACACTTCAGAAAACCTGGACTGTGGAGAGCCAGTTGCAACTCCACTTGTAGCTTGCAACAGAAGATTGGGTAGCATTAAGAAATACCCATATGGAAGCAGGTCCCAAACTCTGTGAATGCAATCTCTGAAAACATCATGAATGGAAGAGCAGTGCTTCTGCTCCTGTATGCTTCTGTCTCCTTGTAATCCTACTTACATTCGATGGTGAAAACTATCAACCACTCATATTCAAGAGACGGACAGCTATTTACTTATTACATACTGCTGTGTGCTTTGTGTTCCCATTCCTGCTCCCTCCTTAGGAAAGCAGGGAATAGGTAGACATGTACTGTTTTCCCATAATAACCACAAGAAACATGATTTCTTATCTCTTAGAGGCCCAAAGAGAATTCTGCCGTGAGCAAGGACATCACGTCCCCCGACTTAGCACTGTGGATTACTGTATCCAATTCAATTGAAAACCTCTCTTTAGGGCTGTTAATTCCCATGTAGGAGTAGGCTCCTGTACATTCACCAACTTGTCAAGGACTAACAACAGGATTTACTAGACATGATCGCAGCAAGACGTGTTTTCGGTTTGTTAAAATATAGCTTGCTGCTGAGCAAATATAAAAATGGGAAGATGGGGAGAGATGAAGGGGAATTTAGTGTGGGGAAGAGTGGGCCAAAGGGGGATCGCTGAACCACACCTCAACTCAAGTTGTTCCCCCTCCCTCTGGCAACTTTCCCAGCTGTTTCCCTCCTGGCCTAAGAAGGTGCCTTTTACCAAGTCATACACATTGTTCCGTTTAGCTTGACATTTTCCACACTGACTGGCAGCAGCCTTCCAGAGCTTCAGAAAAGCCACTTCCGCCCTACAGAGGAGGTGGGGTTGCGGGCTTCACGGCCCCAGCCCCGTGCGATTGGGGGGATTCCCAGTTGCGTCACACCCTGGCCAGCCAATCGGCTGGCTCTGGGGGCATGGCCTGCCCTATTTAAGGCAGGATGCGGCCGGGGATCTCCCTCTTTCCCCACCTGCCATCTGTTCCTGCTTTTCCCCACCCTCCCACCCTATAAGGTTTCCGTTCCTTGACCTTGCTATGGACCTTGGTTGGTCGCCTTTGAGGGGCCTGGTAGGAATTTTTCCACTTGGCAAATTGGCACCAGCAACTTAGTTTTTGCCTATCTTGTAGCAAATCGTCACAACTTTCTTGGTATTGGCGGTTAGGCATTGGTATTGCTCTGTAGTTGGAAGAGGGGAGGAAGCGCCATCACCTGCCCCGCATATTGAAGGGTAGTCCGATAAAGGATTCTGGGGGGCGTGGCCCTGTTTGAAGCCTATGGAGGTGAGGGCCTAAGGCACGCCCCCTATCGGTGACCCCGGGGGAGTTCCTAGTTGATGTGCATCAGCAGGACTCCCTCTACTGGTGGTTAACTCTTCCCGGACTTCAAGCGGACGTCTAAGCCAATACCGCGCATCATCTGTAACCAATAAAGTTGTGGCCTTAATTAGCCCATTAACCTTAATAATTGTGTCATGTGTCTTTATTTCCATTGGGGGGGGACTCGCTACGCAATGGGTCATCTTTCCCATCCCTCGTGGGGCATGCTAGAGATTGAATCTGGGACCTTCAGCATGCAAAACTAGCACCTTCCCCAAGGAAGAAAGTCCCACATGGAGAAAAATGGCTGGAGGAAAGGGGTTTTTTTTTGGGGGGGGGTGGAGGAATCAGGTAAATGGGCCAGTATCCCTTCCTGCCCACTCCTTTCCCCCATGGAATTGCCCTCCTTTAACCCTCCTGCTTTATTTGTTCAGCGGCAATCCACATTCCAACACCTGGATTGTGCAGTTGTCATATCTAGTTAGGTGCTCAGCAGGCCCAGCTTCCTCCACCGCAGAGCTGTGACAGTGCTGAAGTCGTGCGATGCAGCTGTCAGAAAAAAGGATGCTTGTGCTCTTTCGGTGCCGCAGCAAGGTGAAGACAGATCTGCTAACTTCCTTCTTGACACAAAGCTCTTGAAGGAACAAGACTCCCTCCAGAGCAGGAAGTGGAACTTTGCTCATCTCATGGCGAAAGCATCTCGTCCATACCCATTCCAAAGCAGCCATGGTCACCTCTTGGGTTCATCCTCATGCCTTTATCACACAGAGCTTTTCAGTTTTCAATTGCAATTCTGACAAAGCCCTTAAATGAGCCATATGAGGACATGGGTCACATCCACGCCATTCATTTACAGCACATCCCCACCCACCCTGCAAAGAATCCTGGGAATGGTAGTTTGTTAAGGGTGGTAGCTCTGCGAAGGGGCAAACTACAGTTCCCAGCATTCTTTGTGGGATTTTTTTTTTTGGGGGGTGTTGCAATGTGCTTTCAATGTATGGTGTGAAAGTGCCCAATGGCAAGAGACCCTGGTCGTCGTCAGGTGTAGCAAACAATTGATTCAACCCCCACTTCTGTTACTACGCCCCTCCCAATTCCATTCAGTTTTTTTCTCTGCTAAATCAGATTTCTACCACCTCCATTACTGTCCACGGAGCAGATAAAAAGGAATCCCAGGATAAAACTGGTCTGCTCTGCAGCATGGGAAAATTCTGAATGGGATCAATTTCTGAATACCTGGGAGTGTCAGCTGATCTTCGGCATACCACACACACATGATGTGTAACAGAATACAGTTAGGGTAATTTAACACAGAAGGAGATGTTAAGTTTAAGGTTCACCAAACTGTTGAATTAACTTTGCTTTGGGGACATGAGTCTTAATGTGCAACACTGGCAACCAGGGCTGGAGGACGGATCTGCTTTAAAAAGATTTAAAGAGGAGATTTGGCAATTCTGCCCTGTTCAATATTTGCCCGCACTGAACTGCCTCTTGCATCAAACATCTACTTATATTTAAGTTTTTTTTTAATAAAAAGCCTAACTATATGCAATATTTTTTGCCATATATATGCACATAATACCTATAAAAGAGCATATTTTATAAGTAGCAATATATACCTATTTTATACAGTTATATGCATATTTTTAGGTGCCGGTTACTTTAGGAAACCTGGAGTATGTATTCACGTAATATGCCTATTATGACTTTAATAATACACATAATATATACAAGAATTAACCCATCACTTTAGCAGAACTGGTGGTGGTGGGGAACCCCACTCTCTGACTTCTCATAAAGATCAAGCTGTGAGACAGGAATTAGAGACAGAAAAATCTGAAGATTAGCTCGACAAAGATTTTCAGACGATTCCATTCCTACTGGCAACCAATAGGATCCCTCCGGTGTGATATCTTTGTACTACTCTGTGCCGTTGCACAAGTTCCATACATTTCATTGAACATGAACTGGGAAATGTTTGGGTAGATTGTGACCCATTAAACTTAAATTGTTGAAGCTCAGTCAGAAAATTAGGAATGGGAAAAGAATCAAGAGCAGCTCTAGCTGTCTTTGAAGCTGTAGGTGGCCTTTGGGTGTTGTATTTTTAACTTCTTTAAAGCATGAGTTCCCTCTTTTCATCCCTGCCCTTGCTGCTTGCTATTTTCAATCGTGTTTCTTACTAATCAACTTGGGAAAACATAGAACAGCTGCTTAAAAGATAACCAAGCAGGTAGTATTATGGAGAGCCCAAAAGGACCTAATGTATCATCTGCAGGTTCTCCAAATGACCTCTAGTGAAGATTTTCCTTCTCCCTCCAGCCTGAATCTAGTCTGAACAAAGTGTAAATAATGTAAGCAGAGTCAATGGAATATTTCTAAACCTTTCATCTAGGTTGCCACCCAGATGAATGCATTCATCAGGCAATGGTCTATTTGAAGCCCATGACACACAGGAGGGCTGCAAAAATTATCTGGCTTCCTGTTCCGAAGCTCTTTTAGCCTATTCATGCCCTAATCCTCCACAGACAGCCCAAAATAGCTAGAATTTTGCTTCACTGCCTACCGACTGGCATGCCAATCCCGTAGCCCTTGGTGTCCAGAAGGCCCCCGACCTGCGTGAGGTTGCAATTGCGCTGGCGATAATACTCGTTCATGGTGGACTCCAGGAGGAAGGCATAGTTGGAGTTGAGCACGCGTGCGATCCCTTCCTCTGTGCTCTTGACAAAGACACTCGGCTGCTTGGAGTACATGTAATTCCACATCCGCTGGTATGTCTGGTACCGAGAATTCTGAAAAACAAAGAAAGAGAAGCCACAATTCAATGAGAATCCTGCTCCAGGATCAACATATTGGCCTACAATGTTCAGAATATCCGAATATCCCAGTTATCAGAATATCAGTTATGTATTTCATGTACATATTCAAAGCAGTGTGTAGATTGCAAACCAGAAGTCATTAAAACAAGCTAATTGAAAGAGCAACAACACTGCAATTACTGAGAGTGACACTAAAAGGCGGCAACAGAACAATGAAGGCAAGGCTAGTTAAAATTCAAAAATAGAATAAAATAAGGAAAAAATATTGACAGCACACATAAAGGCAGGAAGAAATGAGGCCCCTCTGAATCTTTCTAGTGTAGGAATTTCACAGCTATGGAGCTACTACAAAAAAAAAAAAAAAGGCTTGCACCTGATATCTACCAAGCATAAGGCCAGTGGAGGTGGACCTGAGGGCATGGCCTCTGCAGCTGATTGAAGTCTCAGGCAGGTTCATTTGGGTAAAGGTACCAAGTTTTCATGTAACCTGGTTCCATATTAGTAAGGGCCTTAGTGGCCAATACAGGAACTTTAAAGTTTGGAACTCTAACCTTGGAAATATAACCTAAATCTTGGAAATCTAACCTTTAAATATGGTCATCAATCAGTTAGAACCTGGGCATGAGGGCAAACAAACATTGCTCAGTTGTTTTCTCAGATGCAAGTGATCAAGCCTTAAGCCTAACTCGAGGCCATAACATCTGATCTGGAGGACCTATTAGTTAACTGCAGGTGTTTGGAGGCTGCTTAGAGTGGCTCATTAGCAAGTGGAGAGCATTCTCCACATGGCTCAGAGCTAATTTGTGGCACTCGAAAGAGGTTTGGAGCCAAACGTCAGCGCCAGATTCCAATCCTGGAACAGATTGCCTCTCTGCAATATCTCAGCCATTGAACATCTCAGAGAGGGTATCCAACATGGATACCATATATTTATTAGAACCCAGTAGAATGTCATGAAATAATGAGAGTTCTTCTTCATGACATTTAGGGTGGTCCTAATTACGTTACTGTGACTTTTGGATATTTTTCTATCAGACCAATAAAACTTCCATGAATGTTGTTGGTTTCCCACCTCTCTACCTGGTTCTCAGTTTCTAAATAATGGAGAACTTGGGATTGAGCACCACACTTGCAGTTTTGTCAAAACAACCCTTTCTGAAACACAAGTTGCAAACATTGTACGGCTTTGGTTCAGCTAAAAACAAAGTGAGAAAAGCTCTCTCTCCACTCTGGCACTTCGACGTTTAATAAATAATTCCTGCTCAGAACTGTGCACCATGGAAGTTCTGCACAGGTATTAACTCATTCATGTCTATCTGCTTCTCCATCGGCAAGGCAGCCTCATCTTTGGAAGGTGGATCATAACATAGTTGAATAGAGCTTTGAGCACCCTGTTGCCTTGAGCTTGTCCATGAGAAACCCAGCTCTCTGAGGGGTTATCCATACTTCCTCTTGTCCCACTGCTTCCCCCCCGGGGGAAACTGCTCTTTAGCGCCCAGTCAGAGCAAAAGACAAGTTGGGTTTTTCTCGGGATTGATGTTTGCTCCGATTTAGCACTTAAGAGTGGCACTTCTGGAACAAACAGAAGTGCAGATGAGCCCTGAGTCTCTCCAACCAGCTTTTCCATCCCTTTCCACTCATTCTTACTGCATGGCTCTCTGTGGCTCCCGCTGGCTGTCTACACTCTAACACCGCTTTCTTTTTTAATAGCACTGCATATATGCACAGTGTGGTCTACTGTTTGGAATGTTGGATGAGGAATTGAAGGCCAATGTTCAGATCCTTGCTCAGCTGTAGAGGTGACTGTGTGACTTCCATAGAGGAGGAATAGTATAAACATGCCATAAATAATCCCCTCGCTAATGTTATTAAATCTGAGTCATTGGGAAAGATGATTGATATTTGTTCTTTAATATAACAGAACTTACTGACATTTCTATGGGCCTATTGGAAGGTCTTAGACTCACCTGGAAGAAGGACCTACAACTGAAAATAGATGATTGTAAGTGGAATGCAATATGGATGGGCGCCTAATTCCTTTAAATCAGCCTCTGTTTATATAAGGGTTGTTGGTGTGGGTGAGGTAGCAGGGGGACATTTTCCCACTTATGGTGAGAAAGCTCTCTGGCATCCAAATTTGGGTCTGATGTTTTTGAAGAAATGTAAGAAATAAACAAATTACTCCATTCAAGCCTTCCCATAAGTTGCTCTTTTGAACTTGTGGGATGGTCAAACAGCAATTTTTAAGTCTAAGGAACTTCTTATATGCACGCTGGTTGCAGTGAAAACTTGTTTGGCTCAGAAATGGACAATGCTACAGGACTTAAACCTCTCCTTGTAGTATATGAATATGTGGGCTCCTGCTACTGCAGAGAAAACAACTCACAAATGGTGTGTTTCTATGGGTAAGGAAGACCTGGAACATTTGTGGGGGTTTTTTGTGGGATTTAATTACATACATGTCAAATCCAAACATACAAAACTCTCTTCCTCCACCCAGTCACAAAATCTGGCTTTCATGATGTGTTTTGCTGCTTTTATTTTTCTGCATCATTTGCTCTCTATTTAGTTGGGAAATGCAAACTCTTGACTGTTCCTTCGTTTTGTAACTTTGATTACCGTATTTTTCGCCCTATAGGATGCACTTTTCCCCTCCAAAAATGAAGGGGAAATCTGGGTGCGTCCTATGGGGCGAATGCAGGCTTTCGCTGAAGCTTGGAGAGCGAGAGGGGTCGGTGCGCACCGACCCCTCTCGCTCTCCAGGCTTCAGGAAGACATCCGCAGCCTAGGCAGCCCTGCGGGAGCTCCCGCAGGGCTGTCTAGGCTGAGGATAGTAGCCTGCTTCCCGGAGCGTTGGGCGCCCTGAAAGCAGAGCACCCGGTGCTTCGGAACACATCTGCAGCCTAGGCAGCCCTGCGGGAGGTCCCGCAGGGATGTCTAGGCTGCGTAACAGCCTGCTTCCCAGAGCGTTGGGCGCCCTGAAAGCAGAGCGCCCGGCGTTTCGGGAACACATCCGCAGCCTAGGCAGCCCTGCGGGAGGTCCCGCAGGGCTGTCTAGGCTGCGGATAGCAGCCTGCCACCCAGTGGGCAGGGCGCCCTGAAGCAGAGCACCCCTCGTGCCGGGCATACTTCCGCAGCGTGGGGAGCCCTGCAGGAGTTCCCTGCAGGGCTCCCCATGCTGCGGATAGCAGCCTGCCGCCCGGTGGGCGGGGCGCCCTGAAGCAGAGCGCCCCTCGCGCCGGGCATACTTCCGCAGCATGGGGAGCCCTGCAAGAGTTCCCCGCAGGGCTCCCCACACTGCGGATAGCAGCCTGCGCCCTGCGGCAGACATTAGCCAGCCCCACAAGCTCGGGGGACAGCAGGGAGGCGCAGCGCCGCCATCCCGCTGTTCCTCGACCTGGTTCGGTTTCCCCGACCTGCTTTTTTCCTTTATTTCCCCCCAAAAAACTAGGTGCGTCCTATGGGACGAAAAATACGGTATGTCTTTTTGTTTGTCTGTATTTCTATTTTACATTAATAATAAAACTACCATGCAATCTCCTGTAACTCTGCCTTCCCCTGGGAGGACTGTACTTAATGTTTTATTTTCTGAGTGCTTGAGTCAGCTTTTAGTAAGACAGCGCAGGGGTTATAAAGAGCACTGAAGCCTTGTTAAACTGAAGTACCTGTGCATGTGATGCAGATTAGGGTAAAAGATTCTGTAGCAACAACTAGATGGGGATCTGCGGTACCACAGGCATTTAGCTCCGATGGATAAAAGGCTCATGCCTTCCTCACTATCAACACAGCAAAAGCTTACCTGGAAAAAAGTCATGCTGGAACCTCCGTGGATTGTGCCGTACTCTATCGCCGTCTGGTCTGCAAGGTCGTCTACTGATTCTATGGGCACATCCATGCGCTGCACGGTGAGGAAGGCTGCCAGGTTGGCTGTGTAGGAAGAGATGATGATCAAAGTGAAGGCCCACCTGCAGGGACAAGAAAAAGGAGGCAAAAGACAAATGGACATCTCCACACTTTGTCTATATCCGAGAGCTACTTCCCTTTTCTCCTGAGGGGGAAAAAAACCCATGGGACTCAGCTACATTAGTCAAGAAACAGCATTTTGAATGCGTTATAAACATGTAACACCAGATGGTGCCAGAGAACAAAAAAATAAATCTAAGCAATTTTTCATAGCGTGTTTTTCCCCCTTTTGTTATAACGATTTAATTTCTGACTTGTTTAATTTCTGACTTGTTTTTTTCCTGCGTGTCACTCCATCCTTGGTTTTGAAAGATGCTGAACATTCACAGTTCTGTGGAAAGCTCCACTGTGCCATGCTCAAGTAAATCAAAAGAATGTTGGTTTGAAGGAGAAGAAGTCAGATTCTGCTCAGTTGTGGAATAATGAGAGGTGCACACAACCTGGAATTGATGGAGGCCTCCAAGAGGAAGCAACAAAGCGTCTTGCAGCACCTTCAAGACTGACAACTATTCCACAATAAATTTTTCAGGGCTGGAGCCAATGCTTCACAAGCTCCACAAATTTAGGAGTAGAGTTTGAGGATGTTCTGGGGGCTGCAGGGGAAAGGAGAGAAGGATGAAGTTGCATTGCACAAGTGGAACTTGTTTCTGGGTAGAAGGGCAGTGCTGGATGCAACCCTCAGTCTTTAAGGTCCCACAAGACTCTCTGCCATTTTCGCTGCAGGAGATTAACGCAAACCCTCTATAAATGGTTGCTTCCAAATTTAGTTCTTGGAGGAACCACTATATTCCCTCCTACCCATCTCTCTATCAGTTTTCTTTCTATGGGACAGATGATTTAACAACAAATCAAGGTGGGATTGACCCTTTTGTGCTTATAATCAGGACTGCAAATATTCTGTATCTAAAAACACAAATGTTACAATAAGGAAATTCATATTCTGAAATCACAATCATGCAGAAAAAAGTTTTTTTTTTAATCTAAAAATTCTGCAGAGTGAGCTTGCACAGGTGGAGCTGGTGGTTTTCCTCCCTATCTTGCTACCCCCATGTCCATGAAAACTGGATTTGGGGGGCAGTAGTGCATGATTTGTGCTTGCACAGTTGGCTTTTGAGGACCAAACTATTTTTTTGTTTCCAATAATTATGTTTTGGTTTGTTTTTTAATCAAGGAGGCAGATCTTGGCAGGGGGTTGGACTCGATGGCCCTTGTGGTCTATTCCAACTCTATGATTCTATGATTCTATGATCTTGAATGAAGGTATTTGGAAAATATGGAGACAATGTAGTTGAAAGGAATGGAATGGAGGATGAAAGTGCATGGAGGCAGAGGGTACTATGGTCAGCAGAGTCGAGAGATTGGGCATCCTAGCCAAAAAACCAAGCACTGTTCAGAACTGAAAATATCCATCTCTTTTTCAAAACAACTCCCTTGTTTCTGAGTCATCGTGCCTAATGCATTTTCAAGATTCAGAGTGCAACCCAGACGACTAGATGGAAAAAACATGTTTCCTACTAGCATAGTCAACTTCTGGATGGGTGTAATACACATAGTCTTGTTTATAGTTTTGGAAATGGATGGTGCTACTTGAAAGGCAAAAAGCTTGAAGGATTCTGGAAGAGGGATTGACTTATCCACAGGGAAACCTAATATGCAAGACATCTCCAAATGTACCTGTCACACGAAGATACGGATTGGTTACTGTAAGAACAGGATACTGGACCACATGGGCCCTTGGCCTGACCCAACTGCGCTCATCTTATGTTCTTATTCAGAGTCCCATCAGTGCATCATGGCCTGTACATTACCCATCTTCTATTCTACCACAAGTTACAAAAGGAGTTTGTGGGAAACCATCCAAGTTGGTGAAGCTACAGCAAACGATCACAGCGCAAAAGATTACCTCTGTGATTTCTTACCAGACTCCACTGACGCAGCGCGTGGACAGAGCCCGAGGAGCGATGGTTGATCCTTGCTGCATGAACCCACCGACAGGGAACCACAGGCTGTTGCCAAGAGAGTACTGATTAACGAGCAGGTTGCATCTCCCTTGGGAGCAGGGGTGGGGGCTGTACCACTCGTAGGGCGTCAATCTACAGCATCGAAACATAACACATCCAATTACACTGGAGTGCAAACACTGGGAAGGAAGCAATCATCAAAGGCCTAACTCTCCTGGAGGCAGGATTTCTCCGTTATTTTACTGGCAATTGGTACCAGGGGGGTCTTGCAATGCAAGGCAGCTGATGGGGCTTAAGTGCGCTTTATAAGATTACAATCAGCTTGAAACCAAGAAAGGGCACACAACAGACAGCTTATGCATTGCTTGTGCCTTCATCGTCGCTTCATTCACTTCCTCCAGGTTTAGTTGTTCCATGCTCAAAACGGGAATTTACCTACTCCCGATTCCAGTCCCGGTTCCAGGTTTTGGATGACTCTCAGATATGATGCTATCAGTGGGGTCCCTTCTCTGAACACACCCACTTCATCTTTCTCACCAATGTTGCCAGTGCCCATTGGCTTTCATCTGTCTCCAGGCCAAAACCTCACCGCCTAACAGAAGTGGAGGATGTGATGTGCAGAGGCTACCATTTGCTAACTCAGAAAGGGCAGGTGGAACAGGCAGCAACAGCAAGGAGGAGCAGTAGGCTCCAGAGATTGGCATAATTACCGCTTCTGAGTCATGTGCTCAATGCTACGGACCTCTGATGCCAGCCCTGCTCTCCCTAATTCAGTTCTTTGGGATTAGAAGCTGCAACTGGGAGCTTCTTCCCTGGACTGGCCTTGCCTACCCAAGCTGGCCACTGGATGCTCCTGGAAAGGGATCTCCTTTCTTAGCAGCAAGGCTTTCCTGGCTCTTGTGCATTCCTGTTTCCTTTGGCTTTGCTTTTTGGTCTGCTTTGTTCTTGGCTCCAACTACTGACCTACTCCATCTTCTGAATCCTGCTTATTCCCACAGCTCTGATTCCCTCTCTCCTCCCTGAGCTTCTGGCTCATGACTCCTCTCAGATGGCTGCCTACAACCCAGCGCTGACAACACCAGATATTAAATTTAGGGAAAGTCCCTTGAAACAGCACACAAAGTATCCATTTCAGTGTGTGTGTGTATACAGGGTGGCACCCTGCTCACAGGCTGTTTCCCTAACTATGCACATTTTCTGTTTGTGTAAGGTGTTGGAGGAGACTCTTGAGAGTCCCATGGACTGCAAGAAGATCAAACCTATCCATTCTTAAGGAAATCAGCCCTGAGTGCTCACTGGAAGGACAGGTCGTGAAGCTGAGGCTCCAATACTTTGGCCACCTCATGAGAAGAGAAGACTCTCTGGAAAAGACCCTGATGCTGGGAAAGATGGAGGGCACAAGGAGAAGGGGACGACAGAGGACGAGATGGTTGGACAGTGTCCTCGAAGTTACCAGCATGAGTCTGACCAAACTGCGGGAGGCAGTGGAAGGCAGGAGTGCCTGGTGTGCTCTGGTCCATGGGGTCACAAAGAGTCGGATACGACTAAACAACCAAACAACAACAAGGTCTGAGAAGACCTCTGTGCATGCAACTGAAGGGGCAGAGGAATCTGCATGTTTGGTGACCTGAGAAAAGCAGGACAGCTCTAGGTCAGGTGTGTGACCATGCATGCATGTGGCAGTGTGAGGTGTGGGAAAATCTATTGATTTCTGTTTCTCTCAGTTTCTTTCCCCCCCAGTCTTAAGACGAGTTATTCATATTTCCACAACTTTTTGCACTTTACTTTAAAAAAACCTCATGAAAATTCAACAGTATTTTACTGTCAATTTTTGCAAAGCAATTTCACCTAACAAAATCCCTTTATATGTCATTTTCACTCATGTATGCAATTTTATGCACCCTTTGCCTCAGTTATTTCCTTTTTTTAGCATGCCCTGCTTGACTGGAGAACTACATTGCAAAATTCAAAGAACTGCATTGCAAAAATTCAGAGGAGTGTGACTTCTGAAGGCCAGCTGACATGATGCCAGTGATCTGATTCATGCTCATGATAAGTGTTTCATAAGTCTATGTAAATATGTGTGGAGTCAAGCGGGGGTGGGGAGGGGGCTGGATGAGAAATAGGAGTGTGATATCTCTTGTGGGAGCTGTGCAAAGGGCTCAGTCTGGGTTTTTTTTTTTAAGTTACCTGGGTCAGAGAGGAAGGGGCACTTTTACTTAGCTTTTTAAAAGCAAAACTCCTGGCATCTGATTTTTTTTTTTTAATGTTTTAATCCAATAGTTGTTTGCAGGGTATAGCAGCTGCAAGACAGAAATGCTCATCCCCAGCAAACACTTCCAAGATCCCCTCACACTTGCAAAGGAATATGTGTTCATGGAGGCATCGTCTCCATTTAGGTGGATGTGGAAGGCTTTATAAATCAGTTTAGGCCAGCAACATTACAGTGGTACCTCAGGTTACAGACACTTCAGGTTAAAGACTCCGCTAACCCAGAAATAGTACCTCAGGTTAAGAACTTTGCTTCAGGATGAGAAAAGAAACTGTGCAGCGGCGGCGGGAGGCCCCATTAGCTAAAGTGGTAACTCAGATTAAGAACAGTTTCAGGTTAAGAACGGACCTCTGGAATGAATTAAGTTCTTAACCCGAGGTACCACTGTATTCTGTAATGTCCTTGCTGTTAATAGAAGCAGCCTCTCAAGAAGCAAGTGTCAAATTTGCTACTCTTAGGGTGTTTCAAGACTCTTTTTGAGGGGGATTCAATCACATAATGGTAAATTCCGCTTGTACGCTTGAAGCTGATCTGGAGCTCTTGCACAACAAACCTGCTTCCCTGCCGCCCCCCCTAAAAAAAAAAGGTCTGAACTTTTTGGAAAGTGATGGGGAAATGCAATGCAAAGTATGGGATAACATACGTGTTGACACCCTGTAATCTAATCTCCCTGCAAACAGATCAGGATGCAAGCTCAGTAAGCCAGTTGTCTGGAAGCGCCCCTTGAGACTTGAGCTTGAAAGTAGCTCCAGGACTGGCTAAGATTCTTTAAAAGCATGGGATTTTATGTGGCTTCTTCCCCTCTGCCTGCCCCTCTGCGACTCAAAGAAAATGGCTTTTTATTGCCAGAGGATATTTCATTTGGTGTTGAAAGAGAGGTCCTCTCTTTTATGTGTATGGAGAGAGAGAGAAAAACAACAACAACAGCCCATCACCCTGCTTGTGACAAACACACTGACCCAGGTGTCACAGCTTTCAGCTGGAAACACCTGATCCACCTGACATTAGCTGGGTGTTATCTGCAGCCCCTGTCTCCTCTCCAACACAAATCAGTACTGACACCTTTGGAAAAAGCATCAAGAGAAGCCGTATCTCAGTGTAGACAGGGCCTGGCTGTGTTATCAAACAGTTTTAAACGCTGCACGATGCTGAAAACCATTACAAGCTCATGAATTCGACAAGTTCAGCTGCACCAAGGGACCCCCAAGGGACGGCACGCTTCCATTTTCATAACAGTATCGCAGCTTTTGTAGTGTTATTACGGCACCTGCAAACGGCGTTGGAATCTCTGGTGCCTGTTTCAGACACTGAAGGGATGCGGTTAGAATGTTTGAGAACTCTGCTTACTAGACTAGAAAGAGCCACAACAAAGCTCAGGCAACAGAAAGTTTTGTTTTATCATCTGCGGCAGATGATAATGGGAGTTGGGGGACGGGGAACGGTGGTGCTCCCCAGGCTGTGCGAATTCAACACCTTATCAGCATGACCAATGGGCAAGGATGGTGAGAGGTGCTGGGGAGCGGGTGTGTGTCACAGTTTCAGATACCCTTTTGGGTGTACATCAACATCGAAAGAAAATGACTGAAGGATTTTTTTGGTGCGAAGAGCCTTGAAGGAACTTGTAGCTGTGATCTGCAGATCAGAAGCTTTGGGTTTAATCCACTTAGCATCTTGGTATTAAACAAGTGTGTGTGTGTGTGTGTGTGTGTGTGTGTGTGTGTTTGTTTCTTTAAATAAGTCCCACTGATTTCAAGTGTGGATTTTATTTCCTGAAGACTGAAATTCTGAGCACACTTATCAAGGAAGTAAGTCCCACTGAACTCATTTTAACTTCGCTTCCAAGTAAACATGGATAGGATGAGGCTCTAAGTATGATTAGCACTGGTATGGTAATCCAGTATAAATTCTAAAACAAGTGGATTCCCCCCTCCGCCACCAGCATTCAGTCTTAGTTAGTTTGAGGTTAAGGTTGTATTTGCTGTTTTCAGAAGTAAATCCAGAAATCAATATTTAAATGAACAGATGCTTCCTTAAATAGGCAATCATATGAATATACCAAGAGCCTGGCTGGCTGGTTCAGGTGAAAGGATCACCTAGTCCAGCATCTCATTCTCACAGTGGCCAACCAGAGGCTTTTGAGCACAACCACCCTCTTCCCACTTGTGATTCACAGCATTCTGCAAGCCTCGGATTATATTTACTCTGGTGCAGAGCACGTCCTATGCATATTTACTTGGGAGTGAGTCCCGCTGAATCAAGTGAGATTTATGCAATCCCTAATTGATTGAGTAGCTCAGCTGGTTAGAGCGCGGTGCTGATAACGCCAAGGTCACAAGTTCATTCCCCGTATGGGACAGCTGCAAATCCCTGCACAGCAGGGGGGTGGACTAGAATGATCCTCAGGGTCATCTACAATTCTATGGTTCTGTGATTCTATGAAATGTTCTTAGTATAGTAGTTCTAATCCAGTGGTTGCCACTGGGTCTATTGCAGTGTGAACTGGTTGGCTATGAAGAAGAGTTTGGATTTGATATCCCGCCTTTCACTCCCTTTAAGGAGTCTCAAAGTGGCTAACATTCTCCTTTCCCTTCCTCCCCCACAACAAACACTCTGTGAGGTGAGTGGGGCTGAGAGACTTCAAAGAAGTGTGACTGGCCCAAGGTCACCCAGCAGCTGCATGTGGGGGAGCGGAGATGCGAACCCGGTTTCCCCAGATTACGAGACTACCGCTCTTAACCACTACACCACACTGGCTCTCAGGCCTGATCCTGTGATATGATACATATAGAGGGGTCTGACTCATCCTGCCCCTCTTGCAGCTGGGTGCCCCATTGTTTTAGCTGGTGAAATCCTTTTACGCTCTAGGACTGGGCTGTTAAAACCCCTCCACACTCAATTAGTTATATTTACTATATAGCTTTCAAATGATTTGCTGAAATTCATGTTTTGCATCTTTCCCCCACATGTCCCACATGTGACCACCTCTCTTCCCCCCCCCCCCCGCCCGCCCCTGCCAAGTAAACACAGAGGTTCTTAATCTTTGTTTTGTTGATTCAAGCAAACTCTAGGTAAATAGAGCAATCAGGAGGGAGGCTTCTTTTGTTTGCATAGTATTTTTTTACAGCAGATGTGTAATTCATTTCACTGTGATGTTGCTGCAAACCAAAATGCAGCCCCCTGTTTCAAAAGGCACATTTTGAAATTTTGGAAAATCCGTAAATTTACTTACTCTACAACCCCTCCCTCTAAACCCACGCCCCAATAAATGTGTGTTCTCCCTTCCATTTCTGCCGGTTTTCACAGCGAGCACTGAAAACATCCAGTTTTAAAAAAAACACCTGCCATGGATTTCATATCCAAACAGTGCAATGTGCTGTCTGTTTGCACTTTGTAGATGTTAATCTCTGAATTTCCCCTCTGGAGGTTTCAAGGCTCCTTCCGTATGAGCAGCACCAAACCAGCCCAAATGCAAACCAATCCTCTGGATCTATCTTCCGCTGCTGCATGTCCTATTGCTAGTTCTCCCAGTGTACAACAAGGCACACACAGGGCAATGCATTAGAGCTGGAAAAACCCCTCACTGTATATTTTGGTATTTCACCCAATGTAAGAGGAGCCCACTAGAACCCCTGTGGTCCACAGATGTCCTTTAATTTACAAAGCAGGAGTGTATATCCAGCGGCTCAACAGTTAAGGCGTAACTGTGCTACGGGTGGTGCTGTGGGTTAAACCACAGAGCCTAGGACTTGCTGATCAGAAGGTCGGCAGTTCGAATCCCCATGACGGGGTGAGCTCCCGTTGCTCGGTCCCTGCTCCTGCCAACCTAGCAGTTCGAAAGCACGTCAAAGTGCAAGTAGATAAATAGGTACTGCTCCAGTGGGAAGGTAAACGGCATTTCTGTGCGCTGCTCTGGTTCGCCAGAAGCGGTTTAGTCATGCTGGCCACATGACCCGGAAGCTCTCTCGGCCAATAAAGCGAGATGAGCGCCGCAACCCCAGAGTCGGTCACGACTGGACCTAATGGTCAGGGGTCCCTTTACCTTTACCTTAAGAGGGGCCCACTAGAACCTCTGTGGTCCACAGATGTCCTTTAATTTAGTGTATATCCAGGGACTCAACAGTTAAGGCGTAACTGTGCTCAGTGTGTGTTTGTTTAATAAACATAGGAAGTGCCTTTGCTGGATTCAGATAAAGCCCACCTGGCTCAGCATTCTTTGCAAAAATCCAGGCAACCAGGTGATGCTATATCATCCACCCAAAACCAGCCAGCGAGGCACCAAGTTGAATCACAGCCTCCACTGTTGACAACAGCGACTACCATAGCCCAGGGCAGGATGCTGACTGGCAAGGTGCTGTACCCATCATTGGCTCTCTCCTCTTCCACCTGTATAATTTTATGAACTTGTGCAGTGCCCTTGCAGCCAATTCCTTTACTAACTACTGCAGAGTTGTCTCTCCCTCCAGCGATTGATAATCAATCGCACGTTACGAGTTCTCCATGCCATTCCCAGAAGCTGACAGTAGGTGGCACTGTGAGGACGGTGAAAAAAGGAGATAGTAAGAAAAGTTAACGGTACCGGGCCACTAAGAAGAGGACGCAGCTCACGGCGAGGTAGGCGAGTAACATGAAGAGCCAGACACCGGGAGAAAATGGATCCAGGAAAGAGAAATAGCCAGGTTTGCGCCCCTAAGGTAGAGGAGAAAGAAGAAAAAGGTTAACAGAGAGGCATATTTCCAAACAAACTTCGGTTCTACAAAGTAACAGAGCAAATGCAGCATGGAGAAGACTTGCAAGCGGTGGTAGAGATGGCAGCAGGCAGAGGACATTTTAGGGTCCTTGAAGAAGATGGAGGGGGGGAAGGGAAGCAGGGCAGCTGCAGCTCCCTTGCTAACTGCCCCAAAGAAAAGGTTGGGGGGCTTTTTCATCTGGTGAGCAAGAGGTGACATCGTAGAGGTGTGTATGATTATGCATTGCACAGAGAAAGTGGACACAGAAAAGATTTTCTCCCTCGTAACACTAGAATTTGTGGGGATCCAATGAAGCTGCCTGTTGGAAGATTCAGGGCAGATGGGAAAAAAGTACAGTGGTACCTCGGGTTAGGGATGCAGGTGGCGCTGTGGGTTAAAGCACAGAGCCTAGGACTTGCCGATCAGAAGGTCGGCGGTTTGAATCTCCACGACGGGGTGAGCTCCTGTTGCTCGGTCCCAGCTCCTGCCAACCTAGCAGTTCGAAAGCATGTCAAAGTGCAAGTAGATAAATAGGTACCGCTCCAGCAGGAAGGTAAACGGCGTTTCCGTGCACTGCTCTGGTTTGCCACAAGCAGCTTAGTCATGCTGGCCACATGACCCAGAAGCTGTACGCCGGCTCCCTCAGCCAATAAAGCGAGATGAGTGCCACAAGCCCAGAGTCGGTCATGACTTAGACCTAATGGTCAGGGGTCCCTTTACCTTTTTACCTCGGGTTACAGACGCTTCAGGTTACAGACTCTGCTAACCCAGAAATATTACCTCGGATTAAGAACTTTGCTTCAGGATGAGAACAGAAATCGTTTGGCGGCAGCGCGGCGGCAGCGGGAGGCCCCATTAGCTAAAGTGGTGCTTCAGGTTAAGAACAGTTTCAGGTTAAGAACGGACCTCTGGAATGAATTAAGTTCTTAACCCGAGGTACCACTGTATTTCTTCATGCAATGCGTAGCTAAACTATGGAACTCATTTCTGCCGGAGGCGGCGATGGCCACCAGCTTAGGAGGCTTTAACAGAGGACTGGACAAATTCATGGAGGAAAAGGCTATCGATGGCCACTAGCTTTGATGGCTATGCTCTGCCTCCACAGTTGGGGGCAGCGATCCTTCTGGATACCAGTTGCTGGAAAGCACAGGAGGGGAGAGGGCTCTTGTGCTTGAGTTTCTCACAGGCATCTGGCTGGCCACTGTAAGAACAGGATGCTGGACTAGATGGGCCATTGGCATGATCCAGCCGGCTCTTCTCACATCTCTTTCTCTCTCTCTTATACACATTTCAGAGTAATCTTTATAATAAAGCTATGGGGAAATCCAGGCTTCATCTGCTCCCTGCTTTGCATCCACTCAGGAACCCAGTCCTCTCCCTTCTTCACTAACCCTCTTGGTCCTGCATCCTTCCCTGTTTGCTTTTCTGCCTTCCTGGTATTCTTCTTTATTGAAGCCGAGCTTCAGATTCTGCTGGCAAACCTAGCCAGTTCTTGAAAGAGCAGAGAAAGAGGCAGTTGCCAAGGACAAGGGCTTCCTAGCCTGGGCACCGGCTCCCTCTTCTGCAACCAATAAAACAGCCAGATGGAAGCAAGTGTCAGAGAGAGACAAGGTGTAAAAGCCGGCATCCCTGCTGCTCCCAGAATCCCATTCTGCACCTATGCTGCTGTGATGCATAGAGGGAGAATGATGTTAGAATTCCTGCTCCGTGATTGCAGTCATGGGATTGTTATCCATCACATGACGGTATATGTTTTGACTCCACAGAGTGGGAAGTGACGGAGACAGGATGTTTGTGTTACTGTGTTTTGTGAAGTGGGATTATTGTCCTTTGTTTTTCCCTCTTTGCTGTCTGATGCTAGAGAGACAGGGAGCCATGTTGTGGAGGCCCATAAACACTCACACTGTTTGCTGCAAGCTCAACCATTTTGCATGCACATCGTATTTGTACAGGGGAAATGATGGATCTGCAGACAGATGAATGACTTGGGGAGGCAATCCTTCTCTGTCTACAAGTGGAAGAAACCCAACTGTTTCAAGATGAAGGTGCTCGGAAGTTCAATGCAGGAGCAGTTGGTTGTCTGTGCCATGTTTTCCCCTGACTTATGTTAGTTGGAGGGTGGCTTATGCCCCAAAGCACAGAGAGCTAATGTCTCCACAGAGCATACCTCCTCTGCCGTGGCCCCAAAGTACTATAGATTTTACATCACCTTAGCCATGCAGATTAATTGTTATGTCATTCATCGTCTCACAGTATAATGACATCAAGAAGCCTTGAAGCTGCCACTAAAGGTATAGAGCCCGTCTTTATTCCTATGACTAATTATTATGTAAATAATTTGTCTGTGCCCTGGGGAAGTCACGTTGGTGCTTCTCATTCAGTGACTTGACTTCATCCCCAGAGGCGCACTCCATCGTCTCTCGAGACAGACGGATGCCAACAAGTTTGAATGCTGCAAAGAGTCACTTTAGGCCACAAATAAAGAACTCGGAGTGAGCCAAGTGTGTGTGGAGAAACATTTTGACCAAGCATCATACGCCCTTCCTTCCCCTGTCTCACAATCTCCTCATTGTTGGTGGACCTCCGAACAAACAAATTGCAAAGCAGCCATACCTATCCTGGAATGCCTGCTCCCAGGTCTTGACACTGAAAATCAATCTGAGCAGCTTACATTCCGGGTTGTGACGACATGATCTGTGCAGGCATCACTTTGTTTGTGAAGAAATGTATATAGGGGCAGAAAGACACCGTCATTTGCAAAGGTGGAGAAGGGATGAAGGACGTTGCATTAATGGAACCAGGATGCCCTGCCTATGTACCAGCAGATCATTCTCACCCTTCTATTACTTGTACAGCAAACAAATTCCCTTCATATAATATATACTATATATGTATATATCTCGGGGGGGGGGAGATTTTATCTAGCTCACTCCTCTCCTTGCTGTTTCTCACAATAAACTGCTAAAAAGGAAGGAAGGAAGGAAGGAAGGAAGGAAGGAAGGAAGGAAGGAAGGAAGGAAGGAAGGAAGGAAGACCTTTTTTGCACAGAAGCAACCCATCAGGGATGGGTGAATCTGTTCAGTTCCTCTGTTTCTCCTTTCCCAGTCTCCAGTTCTCCCCATTTCTACATCAGTTTATGATATAATGCATTTTCACTAATATATGCATTTTTAATGCCCATCTTACTGTCTGCGTTTCAGTACAAATTATTTGGCTAGAGCACTTCAGAGAAATACAGATTTGAAAGGATGACTGTGTTTTGGTTTTTGGGCTATTTTTTTAAAGTGTGAATTAGGCAGTTTCACCTTTAAATGTGAATTTCTCTTCCCCTGCTCCCCATCCCTATGGTCCAGCAGCAGCAGTCTAAAACAGTACAGTCCATCCTTGCGATTTGGAACTCATTAGCAGCTCATTCCCAATTTTATCTATTACACCTGCGGATCCCTGGGCTGCAGTGAGGAGTAAAAAAAGGTTTGCTGAACTGAAGGAAGTGTCCATATAAACATGAGGCAAAGGCCTTGGAGAATACACTGTATGGAGGTGTGGTGTGATGTAATGCAAAGTCTGAGGTGGCTTGCATTTTGCAATTCAGACCGCAATGCTATCTTGCCTTCCATCGCCTCCCAGTTGACAATGTAGCTATATAGGCCAAGTGCCTCAGCCCAAAGTTCAGATGCAACCACTCAACTCCACAATATCCCATTAGCATGAATGAGAAGAGGAGGGAGGCATAGACTGGGTCGGATGCCCCATTAGAGTCCCTGTGTCAGGAATCCATATTTGATTAAATCACAACAAGTGCAATTGAGAAAAATGACAGGCCCATTTAAACTTGCCATATATAGTTACTTGCGAGAAAACAGATGTGTGTGGAATGGGGAACGGGTGAGGAGGCTGGGTTCGGGAGGGTGGCAGGAAAAGAAATGATGGGGAACAGAAAATAAACATGCCATTAGAGTTGGGGGGTGGGGGGATGGAGACAGGGAGACTGGGCAGGAAATTTATTTGTGGTTATTTGTTAGGAAATGTCTGATGGCAGCCGCAGATTAACGTGACGTTAGCTGCAGTTTTCCTCGCTGAAATTCGAAGGGAAGAGGCAAGGAGGAGAGCAGATGGGTCTTTGGCGCTTCCCTCCTTGCGCTGTGCAAGCCAGATCTTTAAAGGACGACTGCTGTGATTAGTTATCATGCCTGCCATTGTTAAATAAATATTTATCGGTTTAATTAGCTAATTGCCACATTGCTCTTATGTGTTGTATTAATGCTAAGCTACAAGATTGTTCTCCAAAACCAGCAGAGGGATTGTGAGGTGGGGGAGCTGGATTTTTGCTGGGGGGGGGTGTTGTTGAAGAAAGGAGAAAAGGGAAAGTATGTACAGTCCCCAGATTTATTTTCTATGGTGCCCCCAGGAGGGATTGGATCACATAGCTCATGGCCCCTTTCAGTTAAGTGGTGGGAAACATTCAGGGTCATCTCGTCACCAATCAAATTGTACTCAGAGTAGACCCACCAAAATCAACGAACCTAAGAGAATTATTGTAACGATAATCAACACCACGCTTTATTATCTGCAGGGCGGGCTAGAACAATGAAAATGCAATGGCGCCACAGTTCAAACAATTTGCAATCACAGATAAAGATGGGTCCTAAAAATATACATCTCAAATCTTAAAAGCTAGGGTGAATAGGTGTGTCTTCAGCATTTGCAGGAAACTGTATACAGGGAACTCTCCATTTACATGGGAAACTGCTTCAGTGAAATCGCATGTATTGGGAACACCATTGAAAAAGACTGCAAACACTACCAATCACCTTGCTCAAACTCCAACTCTCCATAGGCCTCAAAGGTTAGTGCAAGGGCTCCTAGGACTATACTTGCAAAGGCCCATGGGATTGCTAGACGCTGCTTTCACACTTTTAGGGCTGTTTTTGCCTCTTTCCGTGCCACTTCCAGGTTTGC